TAGTGTAGTACCTAATGAATGGGCTCTTGCTCAGCATAAATGTTGCAGTTGCCCACAACGCTGTTATTCTGCCAGCGCCTAACAAAGGAAGAGTACAGTTTTATATTGCTCATAAAACCACGTTATTTTTTTAAAAGTCTATCTGTAATCCTAAATGACGTTTAATGATATCTAATTCAATTTCAGTAATGAAAATGACGTGAAAATTATCTCTTTGTCGTAATAACAGACATTTCTTATCTCCACTACCTTGAAAGAAATTTCTGGCGTTATCTGTGGGCGTGGCTTGACACCAGGTATTGAAGCATTTATAGGCGGCTCCTGCTCGAGCTGTCCTTGTGTCGAAGTTTCCTCTAATTCCTTGTACCGAAGTGATGAGCTGCACCATCGGATGGTCTGCAGTTTGTGTTGGTTTTCGAAAATCCATTTTACTAATAATACCTGTAAAATTATTGTATTAAACATGATTTTGAATCTTTATGATTTTTTAAGTAGACTACATAAAATGAGTATTATCTGAAGCCGCAAGTTTTGTTTAAGAAATCGTAAGCTACAACAAATGAAAACAACACGCTATGACGTTTTATGGTTGATAAAATTGTTTACAGTTTGCGGGCTTTACTGTGTTTGTGTATCAGCTTTTCTTCTAAAAATGTATCTGGTTTTTGATAAGTAAGTGCATGATGTAATTTTGATAGAATGAGACACATTTTGAACATTTTGCAATTCAATAGAAAGAAATCTCAACATTTTAAAAATAAATAATTATTTTTATTATGTTTTGTATAGTTTTAATCACAGAAAAATCGAGAGAAAAATGCTTTTTATCTCCAAATTTAAAAAATTAAACACGCATCTCTGAGTGTATACTAAACGTCACAACGGGTGCTAATGTAGGTAAAACTTTTTTCGCAAGAATTTCAAACCTGCCATAAACTTTTCAACTTTTTTTTTATGGCAAATTCGAGTAAATTTCGTTACAGCTTCACAAACCTAATTAAGAATTCCCATGCATTTGAGGGGTTGTGGTCGGTGTGGTGTGTTGTACCAAAATTACTCTAATTTACTTTAGAGAAGCATGTGGATATATAGGTTTAAGTTATAAATTTTATTTTCTGGAACACAGGTTGTTTTAAAAACTGTCCTGTAGGTAATTTAATTTCACCGTTTTTCATTTTGTTTAAAGTAGGTACAGTTGAAGTAAAGGATATAAAACTAACTTTTAACTTTTGAATGGTACCGTTCTCTCACTCTGTAAAAAATGTTATCCTGTATATAAACAACACAATGAACTGGTGTACGCCTGTCACCAAAACGTTTTTGCCACCTTACGATCCCTCTATCATATGAAGAACTTTCTTCCTATTAAGACTAAGCTACACTTGTCCAAATATTTATAATGCCCATAATTGATTATTCAGATATGCTATACCCAGATTTGGACCGAAATCTTCTTGAGAAGCTAGAGCGTCTTCGCAATAATAGTATTATAGATAAAGTACCTGGGTGGTTTTTTTTTTGAAATTACGTATAGATACAAATTACATACTGATGAATTATGAATAATATTTTTCGATCTTATTGACATAATAGAAAAAACTGAACTGGTTATTTGAATAAAAAATCATGAGTGCAATTAGTTTAATTAAAATTTTCATATTTTTAAAAAATACTAAAAAAAGGCTCGAAATAATAGATTTTCTCACAAAAGAAGGGAATTTGAAAAAAGTTGGACCGAAGACAGGACGCGAACCAAGGCATTACGATTTTGCGACCGCTCGATATCCACTTGAGCTATTACGATCATTAACACGATCATTAACAGTTTTTCATTGCCTGAAAACACGGACAAAAAGATATTTTCTAAAAATAAATCCTAGCTAGATTGATTTTTTGCCCACGAAACTCCCTGGACACTAAATTTTATGAAAATCGTTGGAGCCGTTTCCGAGATTCCGATGAATATATTATATAGGATATATTTGGAATCCGAAAATATAATCACATCTCCCATTATCGTGATCGTATGTAATGGCTCGCTATTTGACAATGACGAAACTCTAGAAATATGCTTGTTTTTGGAATTTATGGATGATAATAACCCTTGGGAATGAGGTGATCTCTACCAAGCTATTTCTAATTTGTTTTGTGTTGTTAATTTTGTAACATATATAATTTTAAGCTTTTTTATGTCCCGCTGGGTTTCTTGCTATTTCTTCCCAGGACAGAGGTTTTTTTCCGAACCAGTGTTAAATTTATGATTGATATAACCCCTAAATTTTTTAAATGCCCCCTGGAAATGAGGTGTCGCTACCAAGCTCTTTCTCATTTGTTGTGTGTTCTTAATTGTGTAACATATATGATTGTAAGCTTTTTTATGCCCCGCTGGGTTTCTTGCTATTTCTTCCCAGGACAGAGCGATTCCATATTCATACGGAAAAAAAATATAACATGATTTTTGTAACTTGAAAATTGGTTTAATTACTTTTGCATTAAAATAATGAAATACCTACGCATTTAAAAATTTCCAAAATCTAAACATAATGTTAAATATATGAGGGTGTAATGTTTGCGTGCACGGTGTGAGGATAGGTAGGTACACTTAAAACGAAAATATGGTGGTTAAGGATAATAAATATTTTCAAACATCACAAAATCTGGCACTCTCTCACTCTTAAAATGAGAAACGATAAAAATTTATATTTGAGCTTAAGATTATTAAGATTAAAAACTAAGCAATGTGTGTTTCCATGTTTCAGCATTTTTGACAATTGTAAAATTAAAGACGAAATATTGTTTGCAATTTTGCCATGTTATCTTTGATAACACTATTATAAGTTTTCAAATAGAAATTTAGTAATTAGTATTTAAGGATTTTGGACAGCCTATCCCTAACGGTAAAACAGTGGATGAAAACTATTATAAATTCGTAAACTAAATTTTTAAATTTTGATACGGTTTTCAATTTCTCATTATATTCTTTATTGGGGTACAATGAAACAAAAACAAAATAAATAAGATACAATAGGCGGTCTTATCGCTCTGGAAGCGATTTCTTCCAGACAACTTTATTACGCAAAGAATGTTCACAACGAATGGCTAGAAGCGAGGTGTACATAAATGTACATAATGATGACACGAATTATGATGGGAATAATAAGATTTTCAAATAAAAAGTTTCAGATTTTTGATGGAAAAAAGATTAAGCACGGCGGATATGTAAAGGGAAAGGGAAGGAGTTGCACAAGCGTACAACTCCAACAGAAAAAGTATTGAAGAGATAGAGATGAATGTACTACGAGGCAGTTTTTTAGAGCGGTATTCTCTTCAAAAAGTCTTGGTCTAACTTAAAATCTGGGATCATTGTCACTCCAAAATATGAGTTTCCATGGGATAGCTTGAGTTGTCCATATTATGCGATCATGTCAGTCGTGACTGTCGGGGCGCAATAACATGGACGTGGGTAACACTGCGGGGCGAAAAGCTAGTTTTATTATATTCTTTGGATTGCGAGCTGAAAAAAAAATATACTTTAGCCTTCCGGGAATGTATTTATATCCCACAGAAAAAGTATAGGTACCTAAATTAAAATTATTTAAAGCATACTGTGATATTTAGAAGCAAATAAAAATTAATAATACAGAAATATTGAGGAAAGGATTTTATTGTTACGTATGTTTCTGTATTGTTTATTTAAACAGTTATTGGTCTTGAATTTCTTTTGGTGATTTTTTTTTCGGTAGACAACGTTACGTACCTAATGATAGTCCGGTATAATTTGAAAATGATTATTTTTTAAGTAAGGTTTTAGTTTTTTTTTCATAATGATCATAACTTGTTTTATAGGTTCGCTCTAAATAGTAGGTAAGCTGTTAGTACTTATTTCCATTTAGATTTACAGAATATTTTACCTTGCTTCGACGAACTGGCATCTTTACAATCACTATTTTATGTTCTCACTTTCAATAACTATATAGCTACTATCACAAAGTATTTTATTTTCACGTATAGAGGTGCTTTTGGTGCAAACTACAAATGAGAGTTCGAATTATTTTTCAGTCACAATTTTATTCGGTATGTTCCACGACTTGTTTTGAGTTAACTGACTTCATTGGGTCTACAGCACAAACATATAAAGAGCAAGTGATAAGATTGTGTGATGACCTATGACGTATACTCAATCGTAATCAAAACAAATTGTAACTATCATATGATATACGCTAAAAACTTCATCAAAATAAAGATTAGCACGGGGTTATTTATTTTATAGGACAATTTGCGCATAAAGAGTAAGTTAACCGTCCGACAGTCCGACACACCGAGACCGACTGCGTAGATCTTGGCCGTGTCGGGAAGGGGTCGAGTGAAAAGTGTACAACTTAATATTCGTACACATTTTAACGAATATGTCAATACTACTAGCGAATCAATGCTCATTTACGCACAAGGAAATTTACATCACGAAAAATTTACATAATTAAAACATCAACTGCCAAAAAGTACTTAAATGCATCACTAATAAATTTTGATACCTATTAAATTTTTACAGAAAATCTTTTCGAAAATAATGTAATATCAAAAGATTCAATCATTAAGATATTTTTAATCCGTTACCTCCACTAGGATTTTCTCTTGTATCGTGGGGGCAATGTACGTAATGAATGTAAATACATAAATTTCACAAAGAAAAACATCCAGACCCGACAATTATTTGTAGGCCGTACAAAATACTTGTTCTGTGCAAGACACGTCCCCTGGCCTTTAGCGCTGCAACTCATTGCCAAGTCACTGCGCCACGGAGTCATCAATAATAAAAAAAATTATTCATTAAAATACTTCATGTTATATTTATAAATTATAATGAACCATTGTTTGTAATTAATGTACTTTATATGGAGAATAACTATTCTATAAAATTAAAAACACTGAATATAATTTTTAAATATTTAATATATTTGGGTTAAATCTAGAATATATAACTATACAACACAATTCATCATTTAGTACAATGGTGGTTGAGCTAATGCAACTCTATCTTCATTTCTAGCATGTTTCTTGAGTAGATCCATTATTTCATTATCAAATTCTTTGGGCGTGGGTTGCTTTTCAACGATCCAGTAGAATAAATCCCAATCATTGCTTGGAGAGTTGATAAGGCGATCATACATCATGGTCTGTTGTTCAGTAAAATTGTCTAAGTATTTTTTGGCAAAAGTGCTTAATAAAAGGTCATTTTCTAACATACCTCTTTTGCGAGATTGATAATGTAATCTGTAAAAAATGCCATATTTTACCAAAATTGCAATGTGCATATTATTGTGTAAACTGCTAAATACAATTGAAATAATTACATAGACACTGTTTTTAAATCATTAATGATGTAAAAATGGAGAACTATTGGAATAATTAACATCCTAAAAAGACATCAACTTGCTTCCTTGTGTGAAATAATTAAAATTATTATGTAATATGTGATTGATAATTAGTAACTTTCTTAATGTAGCCTTATAACATAATATTTTCTTTTGAAATTCATCATTAAATAAATGGTTTATAAAAAATATTAATAGTAAAAATTACAGCATACGAACACAAATGGTAGTTATTTTCTAACATATGATAATAATAATATAATAATAATTTATTTTATTTTGATAAAATGTACAAATTATTCCAATAAGTCTTAACTTTGTTGGTTATCTCAGGTGTATGTGATTTTGAGTATATTTTTTTTTGGTAAGTTCATCGACCATTTTTAATATTCAGAGTAACTACTCCAAGTCAGTTTCTATGTTTGAGTTCAGCATTCTTATCATGATAGTGGAATGGCAGAATAAAACCAATAAATTTTTAAATTATTAAAAAAACGATTGTTTCCAGAGTTTGGCAATTATCAATGAATTCTGCCAGGATCATGTATTTCATGACACACTAAATGGTGTTAGACTAAGCTTTGCTACGAAATATCCATAGATGGGTTTACTGTAGTATAATCTATGTTACAGAGTAACAAGTTATTTTCAGATGAATATAAATATATAGTTTTACTAAATTACTGCAAGTATAATAAATGGATGTAAGTGGCAAAAATGCCAAAGCTTAATGTTATTAACAGATATAAAATGCAGAGAGTTTGTACAAAAGGAGTGCAAACTAAATTTAACAGACTTAGACTTTAGACAGATTTAGAGGAAGAGAGAAGTTACTAGGAAGAAAATTATATAGTGAATATGAGTGGTCTGGGCAGTTAAAATATCTAATTAAGGCTATTGTTTCTTTATAATTGAATAACAAACTTATTCAGTAAAAAACAATGCACTTTAAAATATCAATCACTTAGATATTTACATAATTGTTACGCCCACAGAACACGATTATTCATAGTGGAGGTTATGCTACTTAGGAAAAAATGTCAGCTGAACTTTATTCGGCTGTGGGTTTAATAGCTTTGTTGCTATAAGCTCCATTTAGTTACCTTTCGAATGTGTCTAAAAATAAGGTGTGCGCACAAATGATCGCAAAATTTTTAAACCATATCATACCTCGCCTTTCTATTTTCAAGTGATTGAGGTTTTTCAATATTATATATTGGAATTTCCATATACGTTAGGTCTCCATTATTTGATGCATCCCTCAAATTAACTACGCATTTAATGCGCTGGATTATTCTGAATGTTGTCTAAAAACGAGATTAGCAAAATTGTACAATTATACATAACTCTAAACGAATACCGAGTGCATGCATTATTATTTATGTACTCACAGGCCTAAATCGTAACATTTTATCAAAACTTATATACGATAATGAGTAAGGGAGGGTGATATAACACAAAAACCAAAATATTATGTCTGTATATGGTCTTTAATATTTATTTTAATTTTTTTTTTGAATGACATTGACAACTGATAGGAATGATAGATGTCAAAATATTCATTTTAATTTGTTGTACGATTCATCGATTAAGTTAAGCAAAAGTGTTACACCATACAGCCTTATCTGATATATGTTTGATTAACTATGTTCACAATATGCTGATAATGTTATCCGTCTTCTCTCATTAGTTTGTGTCCGTCTTTGTATCGAATTCGAGAAATTTGCACACAATCATTATTTGTCTATGTGTGAGTTGGGCGTCTAAAAATTAAGTGAGAAAAAGACCGATGTTTCTTTCCTCCGCGTTGTCATTTTACAAAATAGATACAAAAAATACTTAATAAATCGGATGAAACTGAAAATGTTTTTTTCCATAGACTAAGAATATACTGGCGTATAAAAGACCTGACAGTCCGAAAACGCGTAGCAATTTTTGATTTGTCATTGTGTGCGTTACACAGGTGCGTTAGCTATATATTAATTAATTAATATATAGCTAACTATTTAAAAAAATTTAGTGCCCAAAACTGATTTAATTCCGTACACTAAATTATTTTATTAAAAATTAACTGAATGCTTGCCATAACAATTCTGAAATAATTAATAAATATTTAAATAATATTTTCTGGAAATAAACTGCACCTAGCTGTCTTTTTCATCATCCATCACAGCCTACAAAAGTCCACTGCTAAACATTAGGCCTTCTCCATAGAATGTCTCATACGTGAACTCATACGGCCGGGCAGGTTGACAACTGCAGTATTTATTATTTTGAGTTGTTATCAGGAAGATGCTGCTGCCCATCATCATCATCATCATTCATTATTACAGCCCTTCACAAGTCCACTGCTGAACATAGGCCTCACCCAAGTAATGCCACAAAGCACGGTCCTGAGCCACCTGCATCCATCGACTTCCTGCATATCTTACCAGGTCGTTACTCCATCTATTGGGGGGTCGCCCTACACTACGCCTACCGGTACGAGGCTGCCACTCGAGAACCTTTTTTCCCCATCGGTCATCGGTTCTTCGAGCTATATGGCCGGCCATTTGCCACTTCAGCTTACTAATCCGTTGGGCTATATCGGTTACTCTGGTTTTACTTCGTATATCCTCATTTCTGAGTCTATCACGCAGAAAAACTCCGAGCATAGCCCTCTCCATAGCTCGTTGAGCGACCTTGAGCGTCCTCATACAGCCAGCAGTGAAGGACCACGTCTCAGATCCGTAAGTCATCACTGGCAACACGCACTGGTTGTACAATCTAGTTTTCAAAGATTGAGGTATACCTGACGAGAAGATATGTCGTAATTTCCCGAACGCTGCCCAGCCGAGTTGAATCCATTAATTGACCTCTCGGTCGAAGTTGGACTTACCTGGTCAGACTATTTGTCCCAGGTAAACGTACTCGTCAACAACTTCGAGCATAGTGCTCCCAACAACTAACGGCATAGGTGTGACATGAATATTAAACATGATCTTTGTTTTGTCCATGTTCATCATAAGACCTATCCGTTGGGAGGCACTATTGAGGTCCTCCAGCGATTCTGCCATAAGGACTATATCGTCGCCAAATCGAAGGTGAGTGATGTACTCGCCATTGCTGTTAATACCGTATCCTTTCCAGTCCAGTAGCTTGAAAACGTCTTCCAATGCAGCGGTGAAGAGTTTCAGGGATATAACGTCACCCTGTCTTGTCTCTGTCTGCAGTTGGATAGGTTTCGAGCTCTGGTTCTGTACTCGGATAGCCATCATAGCCCTACTGTACAAACACTTCAGCACTTCGATATACCAACAGTAAACTTGGCACCGCTGAAGGGACTGTAGCACCGCCCAAATTTCGACAGAATCAAAGGCTTTCTCATAGTCCACATACGCCAGGCAAAGTGGCAGATTGTACTCTTCGGTCGGCTGCCAATCACCTGTTTTAAATTCTCTCTGTTGCTTCTTACAAAATCCATGGGACGATATGGGGTAGTGAATATTCTTTCACCGCCAGTACCTGCCTTTTGTTGAATTTTAACTCAAAATGTACAATATCTCAATAATCTCTAAAGTGAGTCTAACGATAAACTTAAACAATTTTCCTCAAGAATCGGTGCGGAATGTTGTATTTTCGAGCTATGACCATTAGAAAAAAACATTTACTTCCATGGACAGTTTACTTCGAATTTATTTTTAACATAATGTTATGTATAAAATATTTATATTTTATAGATAGTTTTGCTGGTGAAATAAAAAACGGGGACACGAAATAAATAATAGCTGCTTTATTTTTCAAATAAATTTTCTTTTATTAATTACAAACATTCGGTTTAAAGATCCTTATTTACTCAATAGGACTAATGTCACTTACATGAGTACATTCATACAATTTAAAATAAATCACACAGAACAATATAATAAAATAGTAAACATAAATTAGGGTAGATCAAAATTAAATAGAAGTTGCAAGTTAAGGGGAAATATAACTTCAAATGGCTTAACAAGATCCTCCGTTATGCCGAAAATATTACAGCATTAATTTTAAAATAAATATATGTTAAAGTTGAGGATTAATGTTAAGTACTATGTTAGACAGAAACATGATTCCGTAAAATTTTCTCGATTGAAAAAAAATACAAAGTTACCTCCAAACTGACCAATAAACCGCTGTTATTCATAAATGTTATTCTTTAAATAAGATCATGAAACTTTGCATACTAACTGAACTAATTATAAGGCAGGGCTTATGTTTTTTATTTTTTTTTATTTCCATTATTTTCACTGTAAAAAGAAATTACCCAAACTATCGGCGTCCTGAAGCTTGTTTCCTGCCGCCCGGTTCCAAGCTTCAGGACGCCGATAGTTTAGGTAATTTCTTTTTACATTGAAAATAATAGTGATTTAAGACGTTTTGGTAACAATCAACTACTTGGTATGTAATATCTACTACATCTTGATTATTTAATGGATAGATATTGAAGAGCTCTTGTCGTTTTTTGATACTGTTTTATCGATTTTGGGTATTCCTCTGATGTACTTAATTGTGATGTTATTCTCATGGTTAGATACTCTTCGTGCTAGTTCTTCTTTCAATTTTTTTAAATATTTCTGTCGGGCTGGAGTTTGATCAGAGAAGATCTTAATATTGCGTTGCAGTTTTCCTATGTAACGTAATAGCATTTTGACTGTTTCTGAAGACTCAAAGCAGACTTTGATGTAGCGACTCTTAAGTGCATTAAACTTGCCTATTCGTAATATTTTAACTGGTTTAGGGCAATCTCTGATCAAACTTCTAATAATAGAAACTACTTCTGTCATATCATGGGAGTAGGCTTCACTTGCGTTTGCGTCTTTATACTCTCTTACACCGACAACAGCAATATTTTTTTCTCGAATAATGCGTTCTCTCATTTCTTGCATTATTTTTTCTTCAGTGTTCTTATCTATATTCAATTGTTTGATATTGGCAATTTTTGTTTCCAGTTTAAAAATGTTGGTATCTGCATTATCAGTTTTTTTAACCAAATCTGAGACTTGAGATTTTAGTATATTCTGTTCCTTGCCAAGTGTATCCGTAGATAATTTTATTTAATTTAGTTTGGAATTAACTTCGGTTAAATGATTGCGCATAAAATCCAATGTTTCTTCTTGTTTCTTTGTGAATTTAGTCAATAGAGACGTAACTTCTTTTCGAAACTCTTGTATATCTTGGGTACAGCTGCAGTTCTGTTCAGGCTGCTTGCGTTATCGGTAGGTAATTTGGTCCTGCGCTATAGCCTCATTCTTTGTTAGATCTGTAAGTGAGCCGCTCAGTATGTGTGGTGACCGCTGTACACTCATGACTTGGGCCACACACTGTTATTCGACGTCACGAGCGCGGGCACACTTCAGATGCATTCGTGCTAAGGCGACGGTCAGTGAGGAGGCTAAAAAATAAATATCTGTGCTCTTTATCTTAGGTGTTGAGGGGGCCGCTAGCTGATGGAACTTGTCAAGTGGTTAACGAAACGTCGCAACAAACAGTGGACTCCCAGTTGCAATTTGATCTTTGTCACTGTGCAGTTACATTCGGTTTAGAAAATTATGTTGTTACAATTTTATTGGTGAACCAAATGCACGTCTGCTCTGTGTGAACGTATAAACGTATTTTTTACATTACAACATTTAATAATTAAATATATTATAGGAGTATATTTTAACATCCAACCTAAATATGAAAGTAAACTTAATAATTTACGTAAGGAAACTTGTAAGAATCAGTTAAATAAGATTGTTGTCTTCGAAGACCAATAAATAACTTCAATTAACTTGTTTAAAGCGATCATTTTGAAATGTTGTACTGGTGAAATGAAAAACAGAGACACGGAGTACACAATGGCTTCTTATTAAATTAAATTTTTACAGTCTTACTATAACAATATTATACTCACTGTTACAAATAATGTAGGAATGGCTCCTTTAAAAAATTGTTTTATACTGCGTTTTTTTAATACTTGTCAATGAAATGCTTGCTGCAAATTGTTGGTTCTTTTTTTGTAAGATAGTGTGCAAACGAGCACACAGTTCACCTGATGGTAAGTGGTTGCTGTGGCCCATAGACATCTACATCTATCCTCGATTACGAATCAAAATGTAGATGCGTTGTCACCCGTGAAGACTAAGACAGAATGCCTCATTTCCAGTAAAAAAGGGTCTCCGGTTCTCTACACTCAACATACGAAACACAGCAACATTAAGCTACTATTTTACGCTGGTATTCTGTGAAAGCGTGGTCCTTCCCCGGTCGAGCCGACACATTCGTGCTACACTACAACTATACTACTAATATAACTGCAGCATGGCTCTACCACAAAATAAAAGTTCTTCTGTGGATTCCAATCACTGAGCTCTATATATACAAGTATATGATGGACTGGCTATAC